TTTTTTTCTCATTTTGTCTCTCATAGTTGAGGTATACCTATGATGAAAATTACAGGCCTCTCTCATCTTTTTAAGTGGGAGAACTTGCACAATTGGTGGCTGACTAAATACTTTTTTTCCCCACTGTATACACCAATACGTACATTAAACACTGGCTATCGTAAACGTTTCCTTTGATTTCAGGACATGGAAGTAAGCCCCAATGAACTGATGAATATCCTCAACAAAATCATTTCCAAACGTGAGTGGTATATGTGTGTATGTGTGTGTGTAGCCTGATGTCTGCTGCTATATGATGCTGATTCTCTCTGTCCTTTGTGTTGTTGCAGATGGTGATCTGAAGACAGATGGCTTTACCATCGAGTCATGTAGAAGTATGGTGGCTGTCATGGATGTATCCTGCCTCTGAGCACTTGTTCTAATACAAACCAACAAAGATGGAGTTTGCATTTTTCACATTGATTTTAGTAGAAAATCTGTTACAACAATTCTGGTGAATACTGATAAAGCGATAATTATTGTCATGGTGGATAACTTGTAAATGGCTGTATAATTAAAACAAAAATAAAACATAAAACCAGTCATTTTAAATCAGAGGTGTCTAAAGGGCCTACCTGGAAGTTTCCAGTCAGTCTGAAGACATCCTATTTGAGATGCTACGAGTGAATTTAGGCAACGCAACATTATAATGTACAGTATGAAAGATAAATATTAAGTGACATCAAATGTTATATAAATTAACCAATGAATATCCAATATCGACCAATACCATAAGTCTTTGAGGCTGATATTGAGATTGCTTGATGGTGTTTGATCTTGACACTGTGCTCCAGAGTGACAGCACAGGTAAACTGGGCTTCCATGAGTTTAAACACCTCTGGAACAACGTCAAGAAATGGCAGGTGAGTAGAAGATGTAACACCACAGCTGGAAGATGTGCCTTTGTGTGATTTTCAAATAGAGTTTTGATTTATTAAGCTGTGTATTTGTTAGTTGCTGTGTTTTGGTCTATTCATATTGCTGATTAGAGAGTTACATGTTTTGCTATGACTGTACAACAGAAACTCTGTATTAAGACTAAATAGATTAATGACTGAAACAAGAAGACATCAGGATAACCCAGTTAACATAATGAGCTGTCTGTTTTATAGGGAGTTTATAAGAGTTATGACAGCGATCGCTCAGGAACTATTGGAGCAGATGAGCTTCCAGCTGCCTTCAGAGCTGCAGGTAAACTGCCATTGTGCATCACAATATCACCATCTATACTGGCGACATTAATAAATCTCAGTTAATGTGTTCTTTAGGGGATCAGTGTGTATATTTAGGACATAAAGGGCTTAATAAGATAGCATGAGAGTTGATTGGTAAAAATAAGATCTTTGACAATATTAGTCCTATGTGGGAAATGGGCTCTGAACAACGCTGGTAATTCACCACTGACAAGATGGACTTTAATATAACTTTAGAAATTATACCATATGACTAGAAAAAACAGAAAGAGCTGTGGTGTTATCTTTTGCCAAAAAAATTCGAGAAACTACAACACCCACAATGCACAACCATGGGTGGTGATAGAAAAATGTTGTTTTAACAGTAGTCCTGAAACTCTCAAATGTCTGCAGACTTTAGCTGAAAAATAAAACAGGAGATCTGAGTATAAGTAACATGGAGAAAGAGTACACAATATTTGTTTACTTATACTATGACATTGTAATAATAACAAAGCAGGTTGACAGTTAATTATATGTTCATTGTGGTGATCACATTTGAACTTTGTTCATCCTCTAAATCATTTTCTCTAACTCTGACAGGTTTCCCTTTGAATGATCAGCTCTTTCAGATGATTATTCGCCGGTATAGCGATGAGAGTGGAAACATGGACTTTGACAATTACATTGGTTGCCTTGTGAGACTTGATGCCATGTGCCGTAAGTTGATTCTAGAATAAGGTGTTTTTTTTATTTGTTTATAGTTTTAGCAGAGTGAATTAGTTTCTTTCTGGAGTACATAAAGTAGAGTGAGCAAAGAAAATGACGAGGAAATAAGGGAGTAACAGGATCTGGAAATGTATGGACTGACTTTTATCTTGTTTTCTTTAATCTAAAAGATGGCTTGTTTAGTAGCCATTTAATAAAATGACAGCTACATGGTTAACTTAAAGGGGTCCTATTATGCTCTTTTACAAAGTCTTGATTTTGTTTTGGGGGTGTACGAGAACAGGCTCTCATACTAGCTTGTTCGAAAAACACATTCTTTTTCATATATTTTACATTATTACAACACCTCTCTCCCCAGTCTGGCATGAACGGCTTGAATAGTTCCTATATCAAATGAAGACCCGCCTTCTGAAATATGAAATGTGCTGTGATTGGTTAGCTGGGCCAGTGTGTGCTGTGATTGGCAGCACTTGGCGCCTGGTCGGGAAATGTCATGCCCCTTACCATAGCCGCCTGCGAGCTTCAGTGTAAATACTGCGTCAAAATCAAATCAATTTGAGCGCGATTTAAACCCGGATGATTGTAACCACTCTAAGTTCATCTGCCTTGGGAAAGCTAGCGTGTCACCGACATATAGTGATAACACTCGTTGTCTTCTCTAGTGCAGCTCAACCAGGTCTGGTCCCATTCGTGGATATTTGTGATATCACAAATCCTGGGAAATATGCGTTGTAGTCCAAACGAGTCGTTCGTTGTAGTTTTTGAAAAGTGATTTCTGTTAAATAAAATATCTCCTTTTGAAGTGGACTTTGAGCTTTGTAACTTTGCAGATCTTTTTTATGCTCAAACGGCAACATTACAGACTAACTAAAGTTGAAAAAGCATAATAGGACCCCATTAGTGTTCACTCTTAAGATATGCAGGCACTTTATATAAGTTTTGTGCCCTTTAGTCAGTCTCAGCTTTGAAGCCATGTGATAGTGTACAGCTCGAGTTGAATGATGACTCGGCTTGCACACACAAGCACTACAAGTGTTTGTCCAAAAAAATGCTTTCTAAAATGAGAATTTCCCCTCCCCCATTGCCACATGCCTCTGACTAGCAATGGACCCTTTTCACAAGACTGTGATGACATGCTTTTAACAGTCCTCAGCATCGTAAATCCTTGAAAGTTTTTATATATATATATATATATATATATATATATATTATTATTATTCATAATTTTCAGTGGTTTTATACTTACCCGGTGACTAATGTAACCGCATCTGATTGCTATTGCATTCATGCACTCAAACAGATATGTGTGCAATTGGTTACAATGCTGCAAAAACAAAGAAATCTTTTATTGAACGTGAGCAGATCTAAATATAATGATGCAGTCGACACTTCATGGACCCTTTCACAAGACTGTGATGGCGCGTTTAACGGTCATCAACATCGTAAATCCTCGAAAGTTTTTCTTATTTTTTTTTTTTTTATATAAATGTGTGTACATTTATAACACTATCATTTGTATTATATCACCTTTGTATCAAATTACAAAAATAAGTAGTTAAGGCTAGAGGGTGTTTCTATTGCAGCGTCTATGGGAGGGACCAAAGCGGCAACCTCCCACTCTCTCTGAAGCCAACAAGGAAGTGACTTAAACTGTAATTAATCAACTTTCCGCTAGGGGCTGGCTGCAAAAGGGAGTCAAGCCCATAGACTCCACATGTTAAAATGCCCAACTTTACAGCAGAAAAAAACATGTTTACAGCCTGGTTCAAAAAATTATTTTGGTCTATATAGTAAATTTTGCCCTTCATGACAACTGTGAGGGGGTTGAATTTTTTTATAACTCATCCGTTTAAATTATATTAAGCCTTAAAGTTCTGGATAATTAAGGGCGTGGCCACTTGAGTGACAGGTGGATTGTCGCTGCGGTCACCACCGGCGAGCTAGGTGGGCGTGGCTTCAGCAACCTGCTCCCGCCTCTTTGCCCATTTTCGATTATCTGGGAGTGACGCGCGGTGACGTGCTGCCAAGATGGCGACGGCTGCCTCCGCCCACTTCTGAGCTTCAAAAACGCTCTTCGGAAACCTATGGGTGACGTCACGGACACTACGTCCATGTTTTTATACAGTCTATGGGAGGGATGGTAAATTTGACATCGTTCTCTCTTCTGACAGCCGTTATCAGTCTCTGTTTTTTTTTTTCCTTTTATTGAAAGTCATGAAAACACTATCGTGGAGTTTTGTTTTTTTGCTATTTGAGCAAATGGGAATGCAAAACATTATATTTGTGGTACTCTTCCATTCACTGCTCTTCAAGTTAACTCAACTATGACGACTTCCGTTGCTGAGAAACCAGGAAATGTGAAAAAGGTCCATCAAAACTATCAACAAGTATCAAAACTCTCTGGTGTAACCTAAAGACTATTGGAACATGTCAAAACAAGAAAGAAAACATTGTTCGTTAATTCATTTTCATGCATTTTTAAGGGCAGCTGTTGAGGAATTGAGGGTATTTTGTCATTTACTCAATTCAATTACTTCTTGCTCCCCCTGCAGGCTTTGGGAAATTTCGCCTATTTTGTTCATTCTTTAAGTATTATATAAAAGAGATCAAATTTATGAGGTCTAAAAATCCAGTAATTTTGGAATTAGATGTTTTTCAGCTCGGTTTTAAAAAATTGTAGTTTTAGACTCTGGGATGTCTCTTTGGATCTGAAAGTTAAAGTGTGTTTGCGTAGTGTAAACTATCTTTAAATTGTGATTTTAAGCCTCTTAGCTATGTGTCAGTAAATTTATACAGAATAAATGAAATTATTCTTTAATGAAGCATTAAAACATATTGACTCATGTCATATGTTGACACCAGGTGCCTTCAAGACTCTTGACAAAGACAATGATGGCACTGTCAAGGTCAATGTTCAGGAGGTAAGAAAATGTTGACATTCTCTTAAAATTAGTATCAAATTTACAGAGGATAAAATGTTCTGTAATATGTAATGATAAAATAAACTCTGTCTCTTCACAGTGGCTGCAGCTGACAATGTACTCTTGAGCGATTTAAAGGCCTGCAGATAGTTCAGGTCAAAACAATCAGTTCAGTGCTTATATACAATAATTACTTTATGCTTTACACTGCTCTCGCTCTCTTGTTTCTCATACAGTATAGCACTAATTCCAGAGAAACACCAGCATGGAGCTGGTCAGCCACTGGGGTTATGTGGGTCACTTCACCTGCCACACTTGCCATTTTTTTCCCTACAAGTTTTACTTTTACAATTTTTTAAGTGCCGTTTAGCCAATTAGTAGCATTGTTCAACAAAAAACTAACCAAAGAAAGAAAATTACAATAAATGTGTCATAGAAAATGAACAAATATGCTCTAATGAAGAGTCTAGGTGCAGTCACAAATATGCAAAACTGTATTATATATTCATGTCAGTTGGTGCCATTTGTGCATGAAGCCAGTGGAGGAAAGGAGTAAAAAATTGCCACAAATTCATCATGAAAACCTGGTGTCAAATGCAGTTTTATATTAAATAAAAAGTATAAAGTGATAAACTTGTCTGTGTTTTTCATCAGTTTAATTATTGATTAATTTGATGATGAATTATGTGTTTTATTGCTGTAATATTTGTTAATATATATTATATATCCGGCATACATTTAATTCCAATAGCTATTAATAAAACCTAAATGTATTCATAAAAACGCGAAAAGTTTTGCTAATGGACTATTACCGTCAGTTTTAGCTAAAGCGTGTGTACTGAACCTGTTGGGGTTAGTGAGCACCAGCGCCACTGAAACAGGAGCGGTCAGACCTGGTAACTACACCCACCCTTCTACGCCACGGAGAACAGGCGAGCAAGTGCGCAGGCGCAGCGCATACGCTGCTTTCTACGAAGTTTCTGGATATCTGGGCGCAACGCAAAATATTGATTACATTTGACTACTCTTGAGGTATTTGTGCCACGCATTTGCAGTCTTAAAGTACTTTTATATGCTTACGGCGTTTCAGGAGTTTACAAACTGACCGATAAAGTGACTGTGATACCACATATCGTGTAAAATAGCTAGCTAGCTTAAATAGCTAGACACAGTGAGGATGTAGGTAATAAGAAAATGAGGGCGAAATGTGCTTCCGCATCCAAGCGTTTTGTTTCGTTATGACAAAAATGATATTCTATGTAGACAAACATGAATTATTTGTACTCGACAATAGTTGTGTGCTGCTTGGGCATGCTTGTGTTTGGTTTAACGTTAATGTAATTCAGTTGCTTTACAACGACGGCGCTGCTTCTCGGCACAAAGACGGAACGAGTGATCGTTATGTCGATGTATTTATGTAACTGCAGTTTTAGTACACCTCGACGGAAATATGCGCTCGTGATTGAATGAATGAATGAATGTTTTAGTTGCTCTTCCTTCCGTCACATTCATCATGTGTTAAGATCACCTTGTAGCTGAAAATCAAGTGAATTATTGATGTCAATAATTAATGTGAACTATTTTGCACTCGCGGCGACGCTGTTGTTCACTGCATGCTCACCTTACGGGGATATGGATCTTTAGTTTAGATGTACTGATTTAAGAGACGTGAGAAAACATACCTCAACTTTACAGTGCCAATAGGTTTTTTTTTTTTAATGGCAACGTTTTCACTTTGACGTTATTCAGAAGTGATCGCTTGAATGTGTATATATTAATAATTATAATTATAACAGTTGTAAATAGATAAACACAATGAAGTGAAGGACTCTTCCAATACTTTATTTTCCGTAAGTGTTGAGTTTTATAGTTTTATTTAGGTATTTTTAAATAATTGCTATATATTCGGTGTTATGACCATGTTATGTCAATTCGGCAACATACATTGTAAATAAATTGTTGTAGATAATTTCTCACGTTTTAAGTAGGCTCTAGAACACAAGTAAATGTTTCTTGCGTTTAACCATGTAAAGCCTGATATATGAAATATTAGTCTGGGGGGGATATATATATATATGCCTGAGATTTGGTCAGATATTGTTATATGTATTGTTATATGGGCAAAAGTAAGTAAGATGAAAATCAAATATTGTACAGTGCAGTTTGTAGAACTAATTGAATGGCAGTTTTTTTTTAATGTAATTTCTACACTGAACACAGACTCCCCGTAGCTGAAAATAGTGATATTCTGCTGTGAAGATGTCTGTGTCTTCGCTCTACCTCAAGCAAGACAACATGGTGCGCTTCAAGAGGAGAAAGGCACGTTTCTCCTTCAGTGAAGTGCACATCCTGCTGGACGAAGTGCGGAAGAACCGCCACATTGTTGTGGGTGAGTTTTACCTCGTTTCGACAAGCAAAAGTTCACTTAGTTCAGCAAACCACCAGTAATTTTAGTTGTCCCTATAAAACCAATAAATAGTAAATGAAAATGTTCCAATACTTTTGTTTTCGTGTGCATAGGTAAGTTTAACGCCGGCGTCCCCTCTGACGTGAAGCGCAGGAAGTGGGCTGAGATCACGGCGCGTGTTAATGAGATTGGAGAGTGTGACAGAGAGATCATGGAGGTAATCAAGAAATGGTCAGACCTTAAATGCGACACGAAACGTAAAGTGGCCGCCCTGAGGACCGGTGCTTCGGTGTCCCTAAGATTGGCACGGTCCAATATTGAACTGTCCCCGATGGAAGTCATCGTAGAATCCATCCTCGAACTGGACAAGAGACCGTGGGAAGCGACACAGCGGTCCAGATCTCGCAGTCACGGTGATGATCAAGAGACTGTGGGTGAGGATGAGGAAGAGGAGGATGGAGGGTTTATGGGGATGGGGTCGGTCAACAGTTCCCCGAGCAGAGGAATGGATGTGGGAGGAATGCCTGCTACTACAAGTGGATCTGGGGGTGAGATGCAGTATGATGGCTCCAAACCTGGAGGTAGACAAACTCAAAATATTCCAGTTGTATCATATTAAGAATTTTCAATAGATTTAGCGTTTCAGTGGATAATTATCGCTGATGTTTAATAATGATTTTGTACACATCAGCGATCCGTTACCAGGAAAAGTTCACTGCAAGAATTTTCAGTGCACTTTTAAGTATTCACATATTTTCCTCTGATCTCAATAATGAACCATCAACCATGTTTTCAAAAGCAGCACTAATGTTATAAAGTTTGGGGGTCGCAGGATTTGTTTGAAAGATGTTTCTTACGCTCATCATGACTATTTATTCTATCAAAAAATACAGTAAAACAGTAATATTATGAATTATTATTATAACAATTTAAATGAACTGTTTTCTATTTTCAATATAAAATGTAATTTATTCCTGTGATAGCAAGGCAGAATTTTCAGCAGCCATTATGTCAGTCTTCAGTGTCACATGATCCTTCAGAAATCATTCTAATATGCTGAAACACTGAAAATAGTTATAGTTAATAAAAAAACTTTTTCAGGATTCATTGATGAATAAAACATTCCAAGAACAGCACTTATTTAAAATATAAATCTTTTGTATTATACATGTTTTTACAATCATTTTTGATCAATTTAATGCATCCTTGCTTAATACAAGTATTCATTTCTTCAACAACAACAAAAAAAACATTAACCTGACCCCCGATAACAGTGTATTTTTCCATTACATTGTAAATTTAATTTCTGTAAAAAGTCTGAATATTACAAAAACAATTTGCATATAAAGCAATAATTTCATCCCATCTGTTCAAAACAAAAAATCTCTTCTAGGAAAACTGACGTGAAAGGAAGTTGTAGCCCCTGGGGAATTCACAGTTTTTAAAGCGAGCAGACAAAACTGATGAATGTCATATTTGCTGGCAGATGCCTTATGTCTGATATTAACAACATAGACAGCATAGACTTTTTTTTTCAGTCACATGACTTGAGGGAAAGCCACATGATGTTTTTGATGCACATTTTTCTCTATAAGCGCTATAAAAGCTTTATAAAAAAAACTATACATATATTTTTTGTGTATGTGTCTATCAAAAGCAAATGATCATGTGATGTATACTGTTTACTTGTTTGATCACAGATCCCGAATCCCACTTAGACTCAGATGAGGACAACCGTGACCTCTTCCCATCATCCTCTATGGCATCTGTCACTAACTCATACTCTGAGGTGGATGGAATTGCAACTAGAGGCAGTGCTGGACACGTTTCCTCAACAGCCACCGCTTCTACTAAAAGACCCCAGTCTTTCTCAGGGGTGGAGCCAGACAGTTCACGGGAGCAGTTAGTAAACAACGCAAGCCTCAGTGTGCAGGAGCAGCACACCGCTAATGCTCTCCTAGCCACCGTCTCCCGTTCGCTTGAGCTGCTTGCGGAGTCAGTGCAGCAGCTAGCAGAGACGCAACAGGAGTTTGCACGAGAATCGGTGCAGCTACAGAGGGACACCGTGCAAGTGTTGCGAGATTTTGCCTCCGGCGCGCTAACAATACTGCAGGAAAAGGTCAACGGCAAACCTGCATTGTGAAATTTGTATTGAGCAATCAAATGATGACACAGTGTGTGAAGCATTGTTGATACGATGGCTACAAACGTGTGATATAGACAGACACCTTCTCACTAGCTGTTTCCATCACCCTATTTTAATGCGCATTTTGAAGTATCGCATGAGAAACAAGTGATGGAAACACCAAATTTAGAATAAAAATCCCTTAATTTGTAAAAAAGTATTTACGCTCGCTTGAGGTGGTTTTTGACTTGTGCGAAAAAGGGTTGATGCGAATAATGGGGGATGGAAATGCATTTTGCGAATAAATTCCTCCAAGCGCATCAAAAAAGTCATGTGACTTTGTGCTATGGGATGGCAAAACCTGACTAACCAGCGGACCGGTCATTCGGAAATGCACGAGCACAATCAGTCATCAAAGTATTTCTGTATAATTGCCACCCAGAAAAAAATTCGCAACATTGGATGGAAACCCGGCTACTGGAACCTTGGTGGCCATCAAAGGGCACAATGTCAGGGTGTCAAAATACTGTGATTAAGTGCAAAGATAAAGACGACTATTTTAGAAAACGCTTTCTTTTTTTTTCCAAAAATGCAAAGATGTTAACATTTGTCCCTCGTCTGTTTGTCAGTAGGACAGACTTTGGTGAAGTGAAAACAATAGTGTGACCACAAAGGGATTTTGTTTGTGCCTATAGTAATATCATCTTCCACAACAAAATATAAAACAAAATTTTTTTTTCTTCATTCCCTGAAATTTGGGATTGTTGAAATAAACCTGTTGCGAGGAGATTCACAGGACTGACACTGATGTATACATTTGATGTAACATCTGTCGACGAGTTAAAGAGATAGGTCACCCCAAAATGAAAATTCTGTTATCATTTTCTCACCCTCATGTTGTTCCACACCTGTATGACTTACTTTCTTCTGCAGAACACACAAGAAGAGATTTTGAGGATTTTAGTTTTGGTGACCATTGATGTATATTTTATGGAGAAAAATAAATCCGAGACATTTCTGATGACAGACAAGGCATTTCAAGTCATTGTTTAAAAATCCTGTAATCAGTCATGATATGAGGTGTATTTGTAGCAAGT